CAAATGGTTCAAACAATTTCAATTCCAGCTCTAAATTTTTTAAATGAAAATTTAGATAAAAAGTTTGATTATTTAACAACAGTCATAAATCAATCTAAGGATGATACTCAGATACAGGTAATAGCAGCTAAATCAGACTTGCAATTGGGTGGATTGGAAGTCAATTTGTTGCTGACAGAATTGAAGGAAAGAGAGAATTGCAGGTGCTTTGAAGAAGGCAGAATTGAAAAGGCTTAGAAATGTTAATCTGGACCAGTAATGAACTTTCTTAAGAAAATTGATGGAGATTGTGGAATAGCCTTATATACAGTCAGAAAATGACTGTTAACAGATGTTGTGATTCAATTTGTACAAAAACCTGAATAACAAGAGCTGGGGAGATATTTACAACAGAGTTGACTTTGGGAAATAAGATGCAATTGTTTGGAAATAAATACATAAGTAAGTAACCTCATGTGAATTTTTCATTTAAATTACTTTGGAAATTTTGGAAGATGAAAAAAAGATAAGATAAGATAACCTTTATTGTTATTTTTTACTGTGAGCATAGTGGCCCATATTAAAAAGTAGCTCTATACCCATGCTTTGCTACGAAACTATGTGGTTGGGCTTAGTTTTTTGGGGGGAAACTACAGGAAAAATATCTGCCTCTGCCTACCAGCATCCATCGGTATTCATCTGGATAGCATCCTGTCAGTATATGAGAGAGTTGAGGGCTGTTTGAAAAGTGAAACAATATTTGCTGTGTGAGCAAGGATACAGCAAGGAACCTGGGCGTGGCTTAGCTCAACTATTTTGTACTGAAGCTGCTTGGTGCTGTGAAACTAAAACTGAAACTGAAGCTCCTCTCCTCTGCTTGTGTTTTGCATTTAGAACAGATTTCTTTTCAGGTGGGGAGGGGGAGTAGAACTCCTTAGCATCAGAGCGTGTTAATAGTAATATACGAAACACTAATGCTCTGATGGTCATTTCGAAAAATCCTTTGTTACTGAGCACCTAGAAGCCAAGAGGAACATATGTGCCAAATTTCAAGTTTGTAGGTCTTACAGTTCTGGAGATTTTGTGATGATGTATGAATGGTATTTTGCTTTGATAGATAGATAGATAGATAGATAGATAGATAGATAGATAGATAGATAGATAGATAGATAGATAGATAGATAGATAGATGAAATTCTGTTGCCTGCTCTCAAAAGAAAGTATATATCTCCTAACCGATACATAACCCACATATACACATGCTGTATACACACACACACACACACACCTAAACACACACCTACACACACACACACACATATAAATGTTAGGTGTGATTTCTAAAATGTTAATAAACATTAGTTTATTAGACACCTTGAAATTAGTAGAACTTATTAGTTCTAACAGGTTTGCTCTATTATGTTAATATACTCTTAACATATTACATATGGTTTAGAATCTTTGTCCAATTTTTACTTAAACTGATAAAGTGGTGTGCTCTACCTGACATGAGCTGATGCCATGTGTCAGTTGTTCCTTTAATTGATTGGTGTTGATATTTCATTCGTAATATTAAGCATATACTGCTTATTATCTTGAAAATATTGTTGGTTTTTAATATTGAAGCATTACAAGTATTCCTGGAAATATTTTTTTAAAAAAATCAGTTGTCTGTTTGGCTGATTTGGAAACCCCAGTCTTTTTAAATGGCTGGCAATGTCTTTACAGTTGTACAGCTTTTCCAATTTCAGTTGAAGTTCCTTCTACCTGCTTCTTTTTCCTTCTCGGAGTTTTTACAAAACCAATCAAAGCAGCAGCTTCATTCTTCTTGCAACGACACATTGTTTTATGGACATAGGTTGCTTGAAGCTCATGCTTTGTTTTCCTGCAAAAGATAACGGAAGGACTTGTAGGAAACACACTTGTTATACTGATAAAGTTAGCAACCTGCAGAAAATATCAAATTCCTAGTTCTCAACAATTTTATCAAAACCTTTCTGTGACTTTTTTTAAAAAAGCTTATTTTTCCTATTGATTTAAAGAATAGAAAAGAGTGGAACATATTGCCCTTTATATACATACGCGACATCTGAAAGACAAGTTATTTGTACAGCATATTCCATACAAATAACTTGTGTCCATTACTTCCATATTCTTAGCTATGATAAGAAACTGGCATAATGGTAAATATACCAGTTATTTGGTAGCTGTGTTTCTTTCTATCTTTCTCACATGCTTACTTGCTCCTTACTGTATAGCTGTATTCAAAATACATTCTGTAGGTAAAAATAAATTATCAATGCATCATTAAAGATACAGGCTAAAACAAATAAAGAAAAAAATGAAGAAATTGGTAATAAGCCACTAATGGGGAACTTTTGTAATAAACTTTTGTAAGTATCACTCCATGGACAGTAAAATTCAACCTTGTAACTCGTAATTCTAGGTACTAACTGAATACAGAAGTACTTAAAATGATATGCATAAAGATCAACTGTTCTCCTACAAACAATTTGTATTCCGGTTTAATAGACAATAAGCTGTGTAGATAGGTTTGCAGGGCAGTTCTTCCAGTGATACCAAGGAACAATGTAGTGAAAAAAGTTCTGTATGCAGATTCCTGAAGTAATGGATTACAAATGCCATGGAAATTTATCTTTCATTTTAGGATTAATACACTATTGCCATGAAGCTGAGGGTTTCTTTTAGCCTCTAGATGACTTTTCAGTGTGGTATAAATAAGAAGTGCTGCTTTTCCACTAGTGTTCCTCTATGTTTTCTTAAATCATACCTGGAGCTGACTTTTATTTTATGAGCTCTGACAGCCAAATGAACTGCAAGATCTAATAATCAAAGTGAAAGAGCACAATGAAAAATGAGATTAAAATTAAATATAACAAAGAGCAAGCTAATGGTGACAGGTATAGCAATGAGCTTTAAAATTTACAATTATGATATTTAAATAGTACATATTCCCACTTTTAGAACTATCAACAGCAAAGGAAGAGCTGTCAAATACATGATGAAGACTATCCCTTGGAATGTGTCAAATGTAAGCAATCCTTCTTGAATAATGAAAGTCAGTCATTCTGTTATCTACCACTTATGCTACAAGAATCTCATCAGACTGCTTTCCTTCCCTTAGTTATGACCAAATAAGACTTCATGGCTGCACAAGTTACTTCAAGCTAGACCTCCCTCCCCCCACTTGACTCCTCCTTCTAGGCTGGCTGGCAGTTTCCTATTCCCTTTCCTACTCCTATTCCCAGTATAGTTGCAATGAACACTTTGGGAAAGATATTCAAATACTATGTCTATACCTATAGATACCAGAACCTTGCAATTGTTTTACCTGTGACATTCTATGGATGTGAATATTGGAATGTTAAGAAGCAGGAGAGAAAGATATTGAAGCTTTTTGAATTTTTGTATTGGAGACTATTGTAACATTACCATGGCTTCCCAAGGCCTAGTGCTCCAACAGATCTTAGAACAAATCAAACCAGATTTCTTACTTGAGGAGGCACATTGACAAAGCTCAAATTTTGGACACATTATAACAAAGGGTCAAAGTTCCGACTGATGAACCCAACCAAGCAGGCTCAATTGTGATGATCCAATCTCTTTAGGCAAAGCTTTATTGACTATATCATTTCAGCACAGATTAAGACAAATTCTGGCTATTTCCTGCGCAATCCTGTATAATTACAGTTTAGAATCCTCCCTCCCTTTTCTTGGTGCAAGTCACATGGTCCAATTAAAAGCTGTTGAATTATTATGAGAAAATACTTCTGAGGATCTTAGCCACCTGTTGAAATGTCCTTGGTTCCCACGGGTTGCTCTCCTGATGTCTGGAGGAGCTTATATTCCAATTCCCCACTCCTCTTCCCCTTAGTTCATTGGCAAGCTGAGAGGCGATAATGGTTGCAACAGCATAAACACTTTTTGAAGCTTGACAGTGTCGCTGTCTTGATTAGTCTAAAATACTGGTAAAAGTGGCCAGCAGTAAAATGATTGGATTACAAAAGTGATAGATGCGCCCCTAGAAAGTATAAAGGGCTAGGATGGGAACAGATTATCCTGGAGTAGATTTATTTATTGGTCATGAAAATGTACACCAGTTTGATGGCACATAATTGATAGATTACGCATTCAGTCAGTATTACATTTTATAATATTTGTGAACAATAATATCCTTGAAATATCACCTGTAAACATTTCAATTTCCTCAATCCTTTTGTTTTTAGAAAAAGTTATGCAAAATACCTACTTCCTGTGATTCATTTTATTATATTCTCATTTACATTTAAGGGTAAATTATGAAAATAGACCTTTTGCACATGAAGGAACCGCACAGCACAGCACCTTTCTGCACATGAAAAAAACACACATTCAAAGACAAATTGTTACTAAAATTGCTAAAAGAGACAAAACCTGTTCTTATATGTTTAGTTTCATCTGTATAGACCAGAGCTTTAACAAAGTATAATTTTCTGCCCTTTGTATGTTTTGTCTGTTATTGGCCTTCATTGAAACAATTCTAAGTACTAATGTTGACTTTTAAAACCTAAGTGTGGATAAAAATTAAAAACATTATTGGGACTGTTCCTTATATACAAGTCTGCCCATATCTTAGAATCTGATAGAGAACCCTCTTTCAATTTCCAGACCTCAATTGATGAGAGCAAGAGAAATTACCATTTCATTAGCTGCCCCTAAATTGTATAGTTCTCTGCCCTGAGTATCCAGATTAGTTTTTGTTGTTGTTATTGATGATGATGATGACATTGAGGAAAATAATTGCTTTATGGAAAAGTAAATAATATTTAATACTATAAATAATACTTATTTTAAAAATTGAACCTGCCTATATACTAAATTTTCCTTTTTTTCTTTGGATGTATTCCTTATTTATTTTACTTTTTATTATTTGCCTGGAAACAGGACATGGTTATTTAATAATAAATTAATTATTAGTTTACTTGATCTTGGTTACTTTTCCTTTTTTAAAAAAATTTCAGGAAGCATTATCAGTTGTAAGTGAAGATCAGTCTTTGTTCGAGTGTGCCTACGGGACTCCCCATCTTGCTAAGTCAGAGATGACAGCTTCTTCTTCCAGTGAATATGGGCAAACATCAAAAATGAGTCCACGTATCCCCCAACAGGACTGGTTATCCCAGCCTCCAGCCAGAGTCACCATAAAAATGGAATGCACCCCAAATCAAGTGAATGGCTCAAGGTAAAAATTTGTAAAATGAAGCTTTATTTTAATTTGTTTCTACATACATTTCCTTGGGACTTTTCCTGAGTATGACATTAATACCAAGCCTTTGAAATACTTGTCTGTCTTCTATTTCTCTTTCCAAGGAAGAATATAAAGGAGATGCCATGTTTACTTAAATACAAAATCACATCCATGCAAACACAGAAATAAACTAGACAAGAGCCACACATCGTCTAGCTTTGATATGTTGCTTTTGTGAATTCATTTGCCAAATCCAGTCTACAGTAAGATAAGAAGTGTATTTATGTGGTTGCTAAGAACTGACAGTGGCTTGATGGCACATAATGATCATAACCACAGAAAGATAAACTACTAACCTTAGAGTTGCTAAACAGCAGCAACCATTAGTCACAGATAAGTTTCTCTTGACATTGTCTTGTTTCTGATGAGAAGATTTCTATTCCTTGTGTATTTCTATTTGAATCATAGTATTTTAAATTTATAAATTAATAAATACACCTTTTAGGCAAGCGTATATACTCTTTTTGATTTATATATATGAGGGAGGGAGGGAGGGAGGAAGGAAGGAAGGAAGATTACTTCAATTTCAAATTGTGTTTTGTGGTTCCTGTTGGGGTTCTTATTGGAAGAGTGGTGGTTGTGCAGTGGTTAGAATGCAGTATTGCAGGCTAACTTTGCTGACTGCCAGGTGTTCGATTCTCACTGGCTCAAGGTTGACTCAGCCTTCCATCCTTCCGAGGTTGGTAAAATGAGGACCTAGATTGTTGGGAGCAATATGGTTAGTCTGTAAACTGCTTAGAGAGCATTGTGAAGCAATATATAACTCTAAGTACTATTGCTATTCTTGATAAATTAAAAAAAACATTAGCATGACTAATTAATCTTTTTATTAAATGAGTCAAAGTAGATTTATTTCTTTGCCTATCAACTGCTTAATTAGCGGAATTTGTGGCTGGCTGAGCAGAAGCCCATTTCTTCAAGTGAAGTAAAATGAGGCAACTCTACCCTTTTGTTGTTTAGAAGCAGAGACCTGTGTGGTTTTGGGAAGCTGTTTTAAAAGAGTGATGTTCCTAAACCTTTGTCAGAATGAATCACTTTCCTGAGATTGTTAAACTACTTAAGTGGCTTATAAGTGTTGCCTTGCACTTAATTTGAAATAATGAATTTAATCTTATACAACAGTATAAGAGTTGCATATATGACTCAATTATTTCCAAGTTATCAGATAAGGACAACCAAATGCTGTGAAGGTTGTAGATGGTAATCACATGAGCCAGAAATGCTGTGCCAGTTGCCAGGTGCCCAAATCTTGATCATGTGGCCACAAGGACACTGTGACAGCCACAAGTTTGAGGACTAGTCAGAAATCTACTTTTTCAAGAGTTAACTAAATTTAAAGTAACAAATAATCTGGGACAAACTAGTGTAAATGTATTAATCTGATCTCACGTATTGGGCAAATAGGCTCTTATTTATTATATAGCACAGATTTATCTATTAATATTATGGATATTTTAATTATATTGTTTTATGTTGAACTATAATATTTGCATTTCAGTGACTTGTGGAATAATATGGAAACAAAATAAACATATTTAATTTTTTTTAAATAGAACTCTTAGAGTTGAATCTCCTAAAATTTCAACATTGAACTCTCTATTCCACCTGACATCCATTGTAGACCTCAAAAGCTAACAGAAACAAGATTGTGAGAGATTGCAGATGAGCAGCACATAAAACTTTCCTTAGAGTACTTCCTTCACTTCTCAACTTTTTTTAAAAAAAATATTCTATATTATCCAGGAAATTTTAAATTGTTTCCTTAGGACTTCCCCTGACAACTGTAGTGTGACAAAAAGTGGAAAGATGACTAATAACACTGAAAATGTTGGCATGAACTATGGAAACTATATGGAAGAAAAGCACATCCCTCCACCGAATATGACCACCAATGAACGAAGAGTTATTGTTCCAGCAGGTGAGCAAATATTTTTAAATGACTATTTAAAGACAATGTATCTTATCACTAAATACATTCCCATACTGATTTCAGGATACAACTGGAGCATACACTTAATTCTCTTCCATTGATATTAACAGCATAGTGTTTAATTTGGTAAAATTATGTTGTTTTCAACATCTCAGAAATCAGTTTATGCATAAATTCAAGGAGAAGGAGAAAAAAAGGAGGAAAAAGGAGGAAGAGGAGGAGGAAGAAGAGAAGGAGAAAGTGTAATGCACTGACAAACACTTAGGGGAAACTTGTTTAATTTATTTTTTCACAGGACAAAGGCTGGAGGAGGCAAAACACTGAGATAATAAGATCATTGGAAGTGAGGCAGGATTTTTCTTGTTTTATCGTCATTTTTATAGAGTTTTTGTAATTATATCTATATACTTTTTCTCTTAGATTTCTGCCCAAAATCAGTATGTTTTGTATTGTTAATTTTGGTCATAATATTCAAATTAGGATTAACGTGGGGAAACAGGAGACTATAGGCAAGTTATGCTTTGCCTGTTTTTGTCTGACAATGTTATGTAGAATTTTATTAGAACAGTTAAATCCAAGGATACATTATTACAAAAAGAAGAAAAACCAGAAGGACTGCCAAATGAAGTGAAAGGCTTATTATTATTTATATATTTCATTTTATGGTTTTATATACCTGCCTCACTCAACGGTGGCATACATTATCAATAACAATAATTAATTTATAAAAAATACAAAATAAGCCAAAGTATAAAAAAGAATCTAAACAAAAAACAATAAACACATAAAATACCAAGAAAAACTTCATTCAGTTTGTCATACTATTATTTCAAGTATCTTCTTAAAGTACCAGCACCTACCATTCCCTGATCTTCTGGGTTCAAACATGTTGAAGAAAAACATTTCAGTTGCTGTCAAAACTTTCAGAACATCTCGTGCTGGTTGTCATGGCACATAGGCTAAATATATGCCTGCTTCTCAGGATCTGAAAATAAGAAAAACTTATTTTACATTTAAGTGATGGAATACTATGTAATGAGTTTGTTTAATTCAGTGAGTTTGCTGTGGTCTTTAAACCACAAATATGCACAGTATATTTCATACTACAATAGGGAAAATGCTACAGAAAATTGCTAAAGATCTTGTCTAGAGCAAATATTTACTAATGGTTAATGTTAGGAATATTTATCTGATGATAAATCAGAGTCACTTCTAAATGAAATGAGTGGCAAATAAATTTAGGAGGGAGAAACAAAATGGTTCAAAAGTGCCCATATAGAAAAGGGAATAATGTATCAATTAGTTGGTGGAGATAGGTTAACTATTTTATACCTTTAGTTGATATTACAATTATTTAACATCAAAGGCTTTTCTCTTAAAATAGATTTCTGTGTACTCTGAGCCATATCTTGCACCACCAAAATAAATGCTGTGCTACAGTCTTTCTCAATTTCTCCACTTTTTTGCAAATCTATTTTAAGGTTCCCTCCCTCCTTTCTCCCTCTCCCAGACTCAAGAACAAATCTGTTCCCAGAGTCTTCTAGTACACATAGTCTTTTTAAGTTAATAAAAGCAAGAATTCTAGAATTATTCAATAAAATTAATCAGTATTAGTAGAACATGTTTGCCCTGGGAAAAGTGCTTAGAAATTTTTGCATAAGCGCACCAATGTGCCTACCACCCCTGTCCTATTGTTTCTTTTTATTTTTCTTATATGTATCCATTTCATGTATTCATAACTATGTTCATACTTATACTTGTTATCTTATAATCGCTTGACAAGATAAATAAATAAAATGACATTTTCTGCTTTCAAAATAGATCCTACATTGTGGAGCACAGACCATGTACGCCAATGGCTAGAATGGGCTGTCAAGGAATATGGCCTCCCAGATGTGGACATCATGCTATTTCAAGATATTGACGGAAAGGAGTTGTGTAAGATGACCAAAGATGACTTCCAGAGGCTCACACCAAGCTACAATGCAGATATTCTTCTTTCACACTTACACTACCTCAGAGAAAGTAAGAAATAAATAGGTTTGACTTTTCTTTAAAGATGTATGCCTATAAGATGCTAAATGCTTCCAGTTAGGAAATTATTGATTATTTTTAAAACAATGAAAACTAAAACAATATATATTTTATATGATTAGAATGGGTAATAATGTTTTTTCTGGTCATATAACTTTGCTTTCTTTCCATTTCTGAAATGTTAATTCTAAATGAAATCATAGACATACTGATTTTGAGTATATTCAGGCATGTGTTCTGTGCAACAAAATGAGCACTTTAGAAAATCCCATTAAAATTGATGTTTTCAAGTTTAAGGAAAAGCCACCCCAAATATAAATAATATAAAGTAATATATAACATTTAAAAGTAGGAGAAGAACAAAGTGAATTGGTTACTTAAGGCATATAGAAAATGCTTTGGTTCTAAATTTTTTAAAAATGTAAGTGAACGTTGTTTTAATATCAGGCAGTGCAACACCAATATGACATATTTTTCACAGATTTCATAATGAATATTGTCATTAAGACATTCCTTAATATTATTCTGACTTAAAACTCTCTGCTTCCAACAGAAAAATCATAAACCCGTTCCCACAAAGACATGAATGGACTCATGACTATAAGTAATCCTAGTATACTAAAAGAAAATGGTTAGTAAGATAATTCTGACTTTTTTTTTAAAATTCTTGGTGTTGCTTTTTGTTTTGTAGCTCCTCTTCCACATTTGACTTCAGATGATGTTGATAAGGCTTTACAAAACTCTCCACGGTTAATGCATGCTAGAAATACAGGTAATGCTGTCACTGCTCCCCTTTTTATAGGCCAATTTTAAAGTTCAGGATTTCTGTCTAAGAGATTCATGTTGACTGTATTTTTTTAAAGAGTGCTTAAGACTGTCATATATGTTTTAATATTGATAGAATTTCATACACCCAATGCTATTCATAAACATGTAAAACATTTAGCACTCTTGAGGCAATATTGTTCAGTGAGAAGAGAAGAGTTAATCACCTATGCCTTTCCCATATAAACATGAACACAATTATGAGACCCACATGGAATATACCCAACATTAGTTCTCCTGGTAATTTTTCCTACCATGTAAATAAAACAAAAGAAAATAGCAGGGCAGCTTTTGCCAAGTTGCCTTATGTTAGTGAAGGAGCTAAATTTTGAATTGGTATTCCATGGGAAAAAAAGTTTTTGTACATGTGCAAAAGGAAGGAAATGGAAGGAAAAAAGAACATTGTAGCCTAGCTTGCTTTCTGACCTTATAATATTCTACATACAGTGAGATCAGATACTTACTATGCAATTCATGTGAGAAAGAAGAATTGTGAATTTAAGAGGCTGAAACATATCAGTTGTTCTAATCTTTTTGCAAGCTTAATCTTTATTCTATCTGTACTTTTAAAACCAGTGGAACTACTTTGAATATCTTTAAATGGTGCAATCTAATGGTATGCAGTAAATAATGTAGTATCTCAAGCACTTTTAATACCAGAGGGAGACATTTTTGGATTTGTCCCTTAACTAGGAAATCTTACCTGAGATCCATTGTTGTGTGCGCCAAACAAATATCCGTTTAATCTCCTGGGCTTCTAGACATTTAGCTTCTCTTATATTCTTTTTATCAGTTACAGTACATTGGATTACTACTGTGAATCATTAGATAACTTCCCAGAAAAATGCAAATATTCTTGTGAGATATTTGCCCATCAGATCAGATTATTAATTTTTTAAAAAGCAGTAGGGAAAAGAGACAAATTGTATAGCTTTAATTTTTGTTCAACTGCCTGTAATTAAAACAAGTCCTTTTTTTTGAACTGTGCATCTGGTAATGTAATATCTATAATTTGATCAAATAAAAGTTCAGGATACCTCATTTTTGTTATCATTCATGCCTGACAGTTTTAATGACTTCTAGTGACCAGAAATAACACCTTGTATAATAATTCTTAGCTCTGGGCGCTTTTTAAGAAAGGATAGATTTTTCACTTGATATTTTTTCTATATTTTTATATAATTATTACTACCAGTAGTAGTAATGTTAATTATATTTATGTATCTTTTGATTTCCCCAGTATAAATGAATACAGTATATGGAATTACACACTTAGAATAGGACTTAGAAATGTGATCAATAACATGTTAAACAACTTGACATCAATTCATGTTTTGCTCTATACAATTGTCCTTTTACAAAGAGATGTGATATATCATTCTTAAAATACTTCATGCATTTCATACTGTAGCTTAAAATAATTTGCTAATTTGTTGAGATTTGAAGTTGCCATTTATTTGACCATTTTGATACATAATTCATAGTTTTGAAGGGTAGCAGTATTGTCTGTGTTGTTGAATAACTTTACATCATCAGCAAAGAGAACACAGTTGCTCTTGATATGATCACAGAGGTCATTTATGTAGAATATGAAAAGAGATGGTCCTAGAACACTGCCTTGGGGGACACCACTGTTGACAGGTACAGAATTTGATACGACGCTCCCAATTTTGACCATTTGTTGTCTGTTTAACAGGAATGCTTCTGTCCAGTTATGCAGGTGTCCAGAGATACCGTAAGATTTTAGTTTTAGGAGTAGTTTGTCATGTACCACTGAATCAAAGGCTTTACAGAAGTCTATGTAGATTACATCTATTGCTTTGCCCTGATTGAGTTGTGTAGTGCATATGTTTTGCAGTGTAAGAGTTGCAGATTACATAATAGTTTTTTCCTAAAACCAAATTGTTTATTAGAGAGTAGGTTGTTTGTTTCTAAGTGGAGGATGATGGATTGGTTAATAATTGATTCCATGACTTTACAGGTGACACAGCATAAGGAGATTGGTCTGTAATTTTCAACTAGGCTGAAAATTACTTAATCCCTTTTTGAAGATAGGGATGACAATTGCTTGTGACCATAGTTTTGGCAAGGAGCTGGTCCTGAAAGATTTTTCAAAGATTATGCTTAGAGGTTCGGCTATGGCAGTGGGCAGCTTTTTTAAGAAGTAGGCACATATTCCGTCCAGTCCAATAGATAGAGATGGTTTTAGATTGCGTAGTGCTTTTTCAACATTGTCTTCTGTAAAATTGATATGTATTAGATCATTGTAGTTGTCTGTGGTTCGACTAGGAAATACTGGGCATGATCCATTGCTGTTTACAAATACTGATCCAAAGAATGTGTTAAAGAGGTTGGCTTTAATAGTGTCGTCGTTGCTGTCTTTACCATTAAGTCCTTTCGGGGTGGGATGGACTTTGAGTCTTTTAGTTTGTTGTTTACAAAATTGTAGAAAGTGCGGGTGGAATTGGTGCATAGAAGGTTTTCTTTTTGTTTAATGTGATAATTGGTGCATTCAGTTTTTATCTGGTGGCATAAATTTTTGTATTGGCTTTTGAAGTTGGCAACGTGACTAGATTTGTTTTTCCGCCAAAGTAATTTCTTTCTTGATTGAAGCTTCCTTATTGTTTTGGGCAATTTGTTTTTTCTGGTTTTGGGAGTTGTTAATGGTACATATAGTTTGATGACTCCTTTGACTTCAAGTAAAAATATGTTGTAATGGTCTTCTACAGTATTGCATCCAGAGAATAGAAATTGCCAATCAAGGGATGAGAGATCATTGTTTATAAGATCATAATTGCCTTTTTTGAAGTTATAATTGGGGATTTCATCATTGTGATGATTTTTGTGTGGACGTATGTTGAGACAAAAGTCAATCATGTTGTGGTCACTGTTGGAAAAGGGTTCTTTAATTTGTATTCCGTAAATTGAATTCAAACTATTGCAGAAGATGAGATCGAGGCAGTTGTTAAGTCTAGTATCGTTGGTTACTAGTTGTTCTAGTCCCAGATTTGTTACTGCATTGTAGAAGGTTGCATGTGTGGGTTCAGTTGTACATTCGTTAAGGGTCCAGTTAATATGAGGTAGATTGAAGTCACCAAGAAAGATAAAAGCATGTGGGCAGGATGCTGCCCATGTTAGAAGTGTATTTAGCTTGTTTGCATGTTCAATGTCATAATCAGGGGCTCTGTAACATAGTAAGAACCTAAATGTGATATTTAAGGACAGTTCACAGACGATGGTCTCAGGAAGAGCAAGCTCCTGAGTAACTTGGATGGTTTTTAGATGTAGGGACTTTTTATAGACGATAGCAACACCACCTCCTCTACGGATTTCACGATCTGATCGGTAAACATGATAGTTTCTTACTGTGGTAATGGAGTCAGGGAGAGATGCATTGAGCCATGTTTCACAGACAAATATGATGTCAAATTTAGCCGTATTTAGTAAGAGGAGGAATTCAGGTATTTTATTCACAAGGCTTCTTGCATTAAGTAGCTTGCATTTAAGGCCAGTTGTGGTTGGAATAGAGGTAGTTAGGGGCATGCATGCCTAGTTTTGAGTGATGTTGTGACTTTCTTTTGATGCAATCAGCTCTGTAGTCAATGTATAGGTCCTTTTTTCCATTGTCTAGACGGTTTTTGAGTTCTGCGTGGAGTTCACGAGAGCTGATTCTTTGGATAAGTCTGGTCTTGAGCGAAGTTTTTTGTGGTTGGGATTGGTTTTTGCAATGGTGTTTATTGTATGAATGAATATGTGTTTGCTGGACTCATTTTTGCATACAACTCTACAAAATCTTGGGGCCACAGAGCCGTCCTTGTATTTGTACCCATGGCCATCTCTGGTTATTTCAATGATATCTTCAGGAGAGACGTTTGTTGTATTTGAGTTGCTTATGATATCACAAACTTTGGTGATGTCATCTGATTCTTTGGTGCCTTCGAGACCAATAAGATGGCGTTGGGACGTTTCTGTTCACATTCCATGGTGTCTCTGATGAGTAAGGAGATATTATTTGTGGAATTATTTGAAGGGATAGTAATTGTTTGTGGCTGTGGTTTGGTGGTTATTTTGGGTTGTAGTTGTGATTGTAGTTGAGGTTGTGGTTGTTGTGGGATTTGATGTTGAGCTGATAGGTACTCACTTATCTGTACTGTATTTTCTTTTCAAGAGAAATTAGGCTTGCTTGTATAGTTGTTTCAAAACGTGTTGCTAAGTGTTCTTCTGTTGAGTGAATGAGTGATTCTGTGCTTTCAACTTTGTCAGGTAGGGTACTCAGTTTGTTTAGCTTAGGAGAACATGATGGACATAGATAAAAGAATGTATCTGAATTTTTAACCATATCAGCTAGGCTTTTGTTTGCGTTTAAGCAAAGCAGTAATGATGGGGTTTTTTTATTCTTGCTTCCAGGAGGTGCAGCATTTATTTTTCCAAATACTTCAGTTTATCCTGAAGCAACACAAAGAATTACCACCAGGCCAGGTATGCAGAGATGTGTACATGTTTTACTATACAATATATGATATTTCTATCCTTTTTTCCTTTTAACACATGACTGTAGTTTTGTCCACCTGGAGCTTAGCACATGTTGCCAAGCCATACCAAATTCTCTACTGGTATCTAGGACATTAATTACGAAAAGATGCCAGGAAATCTTTGATGATACTCTGCTTCCTGTCACAGCCTTCCTCTTTTCAAACTATTTTTCTCCTTCCTCAGAATTCCCTCCCCCATTACCCTTAATAGGCAGCACACTTTCTGTTTTTGCTTTTTCTTTGTTTATCCTGAATCTGTTCAGTGCCTATCGAATTCAGCAGGAAAACCAAGACAGCTGTACTTGTGCTCTGCAGGATGCTGAAACACTATTAAATTTTTTACTGAAAGAAAGAAAAGTTTCTCTTTACTGAAAGAGAGAATAATTGTCAGTGCCACTGTTTAGATGTAGGTGCTGAACAGGAACAAAGGGAAAAAATGAACAGACAGGGGGAGAATAGGAAGAAATATTTGGCACATGATTTTTAAAAGACTTTAGGGCGTGCTGAAAGATCAGGTGACCATGGGGAGATGGCCTGACTTTAAGGCCTGGATAGGCCACACAGCTCTGCTGCCCATTGTGAGGAATTGGTTTAAAAGAGATTAGGCATAAAGAGGATTTTATTAATTTAATACACCAACTTTTTTGGTTCTGGTTTTGTGCCTTCTATTTATTTATTTATGAATTAGTTTTTTTAGTATTTTTAATAAAAAATAAAAGCAAACAATATACTTTGATATTCTCTTCACAAAAACCTGCACAGTATATAATAAGATAGGGAGAGTACTAGTAATATGGTGCTAGAATTCTTTTCAATTTCAATTTCTTAAAAATAGCTGCATACTGGCCAAATGGCTGTGAAGGGAGAAGATTAAGAAGCTCCCAACATTCTGAGCTGCCTTCTAATTGTGACATGAAAAGGGAATTTGTAACTTTTCCCCACAACCAGCAGAGTCTGGTCCATTATTGAACCTGAAGATGGGTTGCCATCTTCTTTCACACCAGTATTGACCCTATTTGATTTTGGAGAATTATACAAGCAAATTGAGTTTTCATCCCCTTTACATAATTTATTTCCAACATTCTCTTTTGTTTGGAAAGAATTGTAGGATAGGAAAAATACAAAGCATCCTTTCCAGCTTCGTTATCATCAGTCACCATAACAGACTTTTGTTTTTTGTTATCTGCGTAATGAAGCAACCATTATGTCTCTGTGTGTTTCTGTTCTCCCATCCCTTTTCATCTGTGTATATGTATAGATATCAAGAAGTACATCGTAGGCTGCATGCATTCTGTTTGGAGTCATGAAATAGGAAGAGGAGATGGTCAGCAATATTCCTTAGCGGCTGTCCAACTGCCTTTCCTGTAGACATTCGCTGAGGGAGTTCTGTCTAGACCCCAGCTAAAACTAGCCATTACTAATTTTTTTCTTTCATCAGCTGCTGTTTTGCCTATACACAATGAATTGAATCCTGTTCAATTGTCGAAAGTTATTCTGCTAACATACAGGCAAAATCCCAAACCTTTATATATAATTTATTTCCACTGATCTGTTTGGTTGAAAGGAATAGAAATTACTAAATTAAGTAATAAAAGGATCAAATAATCCTACAGTATAATAAGAAAGAAACAGAGCAGGAACAAAACAGTTTTAATGCACAGCCAAATGTAAGGAGTGAAAAAGATTGTGTGGAGCAAAACAGATCATTTGGAATTGTTTGCTTTTTTAAATGATTTTCCACTCATAGCAAAACTTCTTATAGGCCTTAATGCACACATATCTCTTATGCGTATTACATTTTAAAAAAACTTGAGATAGATCTTCAAAAGATAATATAGAAATTCTTCTCAAATAAGGATGGAAAAAGAAAGGAAGTAGCTTTCATTTAGAAAAATGAATAAATATGACTGGCACAATTTCATGTTTTAATACATTTTTCTTCTGAAGGAATCTGTTAAATTGCAATCTTATTGCTTTTCCAAGAATATATAAATTGTGTATATTCCACAACAATATATTTGTTGAAGATACTGTTATGCACCACCCCTATCTTAACATAAATGTCTTGAAATGTAAACTTAAAAAAAAAGAATAGGATATTTCGAGTGTGGTCATGCAAACAGTTCATTTGAGGATATTTTTAATACTGTTGTAATGTATATTATGAATATCCTTAAATTAATTTTATATTTTCAAGTCCTTATTAAATTTTCTTAAACTTATTTCAGTGTTATAATGAAAACTGATAAATAGCCATAATACGACAGATAACTTTCTCATAAGTGCAATTTTGAGAAGGAAGGTTCATAGCTATCTCTTTGATTGCAGTGTCATGTCTCCATTAATCTAACTAATACATGCATGCATATAATAAATTGGAGCTTTCAAAAAATGAGACAAAAAAAATGCAGAATGCATATAATAAATTGGAGCTTTCAAAAAATGAGAAAAAAAATGCAGAATCATAAAGGCTGCTATTTCCATGATTTTAATATTAATAATAATTCATCTTTAATTTGTTAATTATCTTGGTACTTTACTATGCAAAATAGAACAGAACCATACAAATCAAATGAACACAATAATGCAATGCAATGCAATGTGATACAATGCAATAATAGATGGACAAATGTCAAACACTGTATATGTTTATAACTCCAGGAAGAGATTTTTTTTAATACAGTGGCAATTAAGTAAACAGCTGTGAGAATAATGTGGAATTTTATATTGTGGTGAATATTTTGCCCTCAGGAATACTACTAATTTCAAGAGCTACCAGATGACAGACATTTTTGGCCTAAAGCAGGATTCCTATTTTCTATCAGATCGACTTATAGTGATTTCTTCTGCACACAGATATGCCTTATGAACCAGCCAGAAGATCAGCATGGACAAGTCATGGTCATCCTGCTCCTCAATCAAAAGGTAAAAGATATCGTAACTGAAAACCCAGCGGAAGTATCATGACTATTTCTAAAGCATTTCACCTTCACAAATTTCATACTTAAAGCAACCAATATAAAAACATATTTTATAAAAAAATCCTGACTTTCATTATCTGTTTTGAGAATTGAGAGAACATATTAATAAATTAGAGTTTCATGGTGAAATCAAGAGTACATTATGTAGCTATAATCAATAAGTTTGATCTTCAAGGTTGTTGGAAGTCAAGTGGCATACACATTTCATGAATAATAATAATTCAGCCAGATGTGAACAGGGAATCCATATTCTAGTTGTCCCTTAGTTATGGAAGCCAGATGGATGATTTTGAACCAATCCAGGGGTGCAATTCAATCAGTATAACAACTGGTTCGGTGAGCGCACACTTCACCCGCATGCTCTTACCTTCAACTGCAGCTGAAGAAACAGCTGAGATGCGGCAAACTGCTTTGCCATGTGAATCAGCTGTGCTCCTAACAAAAAGACATAAAGCACAGGAAAGAGCAGGGGCAGGGGACTGGATCATCGGAACAAGGTCCGAACCGGTAGAATCCCACCCTTGAACCAGTCACTCCCTCTTGGGCTCTGTGACAACCCAAGTTAATGAGCAAACACCTTCATTGTATCCAGTGGTGGGATTCAAATTTTTTTACTACCAGTTCTGTGGGCATGGCTTGGTGGGCATGGCAGAGGAAGGATACTGTAAAATCTCCAGTCAGAGGTGGTATTTGCCGATTATCCGGACTACTCAAAATTTCCACCACTGCTTCTCCAGAACTGGTCAAAACCTGCTGAATACCACCTCTGATTGTACCCCATATTGGTAGTTTTGCTATAAAAACTAGATAAGCAGTGCAAAAACATGCAGATCCTTCAGTCATATTGGACAAATGCCAAGAAAAACCATAACAACCCCCTTCCCCCGATATCCATTCCTTCACAGTGTCTGCTGTTCTGAAATCAATAGATTTCATATTATTTCTGCGAGATTGTTATTATTATGATTAAAGTACCAAGTACCTTCATTCCAAAGAATATTGATTATATCTCTCTTTGACATAGATGGTAATAAAGGTTTTGGTTTGGTTTTCTGTTTTTAGCTGCTCAAGCATCATCTTCAGCTGTGACCAAAACAGAAGACCAGCGTCCTCAATTGGGTATGTCTTTGGTTGTGCATATTTTGTATTCTAAAGGTGATGGAAAACGTTCAGTAGTTTATGGTTAGTGTGAGCACTATGAGCAGGCAATAGCCATCTTATATATAGTAAAAAACTAAATGTACTGTATTATCTACTGTTTTTCAAATTATTTTAAAATAATGAAGATAGCTGTCATGCAAGTAGTAAGGTAAATAAATGTAATGTGCAAAACCTGTCTACTAAATTAAAAATGATATAAGGTCCTTGGCTCTGCAGCATCATCTTTTGCCTGGGATCATGAATTATATGTTTCACTGGTTCTATACAAAATTCATGGTTTCAATATAAGGACAGGAATAAAAATAATTTTAACCATAATGGATTGTCATGGAGAGAGAAAAAAACTTTGTCCTTTCTGTATTATTTTGGAATCTGAACCTTTCCCTGGTTAAATTCCTAAAAGATTAGGGTGAAATATACTGTATTATATCTCTATCTAAGAGAGAAATCCTCAATAAAATGTTATAGATGTTAGTACCTCCTACTAAACTTCTTATTGGAAACACACACACACAAATATATATATATACATATACAGGGGTGGGATTCAAAAATCCCAACAACTTCTCTAACCAGTTGCTGAGTGGGCATGGCCATTGTGGGCGTGGCCTACTGGAACTTCCAGGAAGGCTGTTTTTTGCCTTCCCCTGAGTCCGAAGGCTTCCCTCAGGCCTCTGGGAGAGCAAAAATGGCCTCCCCTGGGCTCCAGAGGCCCTCTGGAAGCAGGAAACAGGCCTATTTTTGGACTTTCAGAACTTCCAAGAGGGCCATTTTTCACCCTCCCAGAGCCTCCAGACGGACCCTGCACTTACCTGCATCCAAAACAGGCTGTGTGAAGACTCTTGGGAGGAGCAGGGCAGGGTGGGCGGGGCCAGCTTGTCAGTTCAACTACCAGTTCAATGAACCAAGTGTAAATTTAACATCTGGTTTGCATGAACTGGCCTGAACCAGCTGAATCCCACACCTGTGTATATATACAGTATATATGTATGTATGTATGTATGTATATATGTATGCGTATGCATATGCATATGTATGTATGTATAAAGCCACTTAACTCTGTCCATTACTCTTCATGCCTCAAAGCCTTCATATTTCTGTCATGATGGCAATAAAACTCATTAAATTGGCCTTGACTGGTAAACCATCATAACTTAACTAAGGAGTACAAGTAAGCACGATTTTTTTTTTTTTTGTAATCCTGTCTATAGTTACTAGAATAAACTCCCGTTTGACAACCCTGTAATCCCTCATTTGGGGTAGAGTCAGGGCGAGTAGATGGAGCTGAACATTTATGGACCAGATGCCCTCCCTGACACCATACAGGGTTCACTGCAGATAGTTTTTTTCTTTGCACCCTAGGAGAGAAACATTTGCTGGTATCTAGGATTTAACTTTCAATCTTCTGAGTGGGAGGTCAGCAGCTGCACCACTAGGCCACCATGCAGCTTTATTCTATATATAAAATATAGAACTATATTCTATAGTTACTTGAATATGAGTATCTAAATGTATTTGTTTTAACTGATGGAAGATTTACCTTGCAGATAAATATAGTTTACCTAAGTTAACAATATTATGATAATGCATATTAATCCCCTGCATTTAGTTTGGAAACATTTATTACATAATTTTGGCTTATGTCTATTTTTATCTTGATTTAGATCCTTATCAAATTCTTGGTCCAACAAGCAGTCGTCTTGCAAATCCAGGTATGATAAAATATTAATGCTTTGGCAATTTTACCTGAAAATAAGAAATGTATTAATTACCCAAAAGATCAAGTGATGATAGCTGGTATTTCTGCATTCTATGAGTCTATCATTGTCATCAAAATTGTTTTTAATTTTAACTACAGGGGGAAAGTGAAAGAGAAGTGTTTAAAAGCTCTACTAATGTGTCACTGAGTGTTTTTGAAAACATGCTCCTTTTCAGACCATGTTAATATATTAGATGAGATCTGCAGCATTAGAAAAACAAGTATAGATTCTAAAATTTTTAGTGTGGCTGCTTGGATCCTACCAATCTGATCTGTGTTACTTAAAACAACAATTTAACAATGAGAAAGTATATGAAATTTATTTATAGATTTACATACATTTACTTGTAAAGTGAATGGTTATCCTGATACAAATCTGAAACAAAGACTGTCTACTTCCAATTCAAAAGTAAATGACTATCTAGCAAAGATCCCAATAAATCAGTGGCCATGCTGAAGAATAAACTTTTAGTGTTAATCAATACATAATGCAAATTGTTAAAACGTTAATTTTTAAAATATGTAATTTGATCTTCCTAAATAATAAAGAGTAAACATTGTCTTCTGTGGAGTCTGACTAACTACAATACCTTACTTTCATGGGACTAAACGTCAAAGTTCACATGCTATGAATGATGAGTCAAGGATTGTGTACAAAGGATAGGAATTGCCTTGTTTTAAAGACCTTTTCTGCTTTTCTAATGAACACATAGAAGATAGCTTTGGGTGAAAGTGTACTTTATAGATAATTATGATATCTTTGCATATCTTTGGTCCTCTCATATCTTCCTCTTCTTGTGCAGGCAGGTGAATCAGCTGAGAAACAAGGAAAGAGTACCCCAGAGATCTATGTAGATTATGGACCACTGTTTCATACATGGGCTAGACAGTTTTGTGTTAATTTCTAATAAATATCTCTAATGGTTCTTTTTTTCCCTACCTGCAGGGAGTGGGCAGATACAGCTGTGGCAGTTTTTGTTGGAGCTTCTGTCAGATAGCTCCAATTCTAATTGCATCACCTGGGAAGGTACCAATGGAGAGTTCAAGATGACTGACCCTGATGAAGTTGCACGGCGCTGGGGGGAAAGGAAGAGCAAACCCAATATGAACTATGACAAGCTCAGTCGTGCTCTTCGTTATTATTATGACAAAAATATAATGACTAAAGTCCATGGTAAACGTTATGCCTACAAATTTGACTTCCATGGAATTGCTCAAGCCCTTCAGCCACATCCTCCAGAATCATCCATATATAAATATCCATCAGACCTGCCCTACATGAGTTCCTATCATGCACACCCTCAGAAAATGAACTTTGTTGCTCCTCATGCTCCTGCTTTGCCTGTTACTTCCTCCAACTTTTTTGCTGGACCCAGTCCTTACTGGAATTCACCAACTGGAAGCATCTATCCCAACACTAGGCTCCCAACCACTCATATGCCTTCTCACCTTGGCACTTACTACTAAAGAGGAAAGAATATTTTAAAGGGTATGTTTTCCTGGAATACAAGGAATTAGAACCAGCAAATCTGAACAAAATGTGCCTGAAAGACTGATAATACTGACTAGGATATAAAACAAACTTTTTTATACAGAGATATTAAAAAGTGTAAAGATGCTACTAAATATGTTGACATCAAGTCTAAACATGAAAGAAGGAAATACATATTTAGGTAAAATTTTGTGATAATAACTAAAACATGGGACCAGAAGAAATGTATAAGATTACTATGTCTTTTTTCATATCACAGTAAAGTAATACAAGGATATTCTATTACGAACTTGGATGCAATACATGAATATATAAATGCATAAAAAAAACTTAACTATTTTTTTAACAAAAAAACAAATATGTAAAAAGCGGGACAAATTTATTTCTCGAGGAGACCATGTTGTGGTTGGAATAAAATGGACTGTATTCCATCAAGAGGGAGGGATGAGATATTTCAAAACTGTGAACACAATACAAGTTAAAGTGTGTTGATAATGTTACAGAGCTCTGAGCCAAACATTGGGTTTGAGAATGTGCTAAGGGCAAGTGTATGATTGTAGACTAAGGGTTCAAATGTCAGGAAGTTTTCCTATGCAGACCCTGTTGCAATAAATAGGAGCTCACGAGAGCACTATTAAAACCCTGTGTCTGATCAATGTAGAGGAAAGGAATAGGAGAACATGGGGTGATGAAGATGAAGGAAAAGGTATTTCTGTTAAAGAGGGAGAAACTGACAGTTTTTGAAGAAGTATTTGCTTGGACATGACAAATACCATAGTATGTATTAAGCCATTTTCAGTATTATCAAAGAAAAAAACAAAGCCTTTATTTGTAAGTCAAAAGAGGGAGAAATAGTGGTAATCAAAGTATGCATCTCTCTATAAAGATATTAAACTGGAATTGTGTGCTATTTAAAATAACACTTCAAACCTCATTCTTCTTAAGGGAAGTTGTTGTCTACTTAGTTGAAAAGGACAAAACCCAATTGCCAGTAGACATATTTGTTAGGCAGCGCCAGTTTTTCTTTCCGAGTCGCGAACGCTGTGCGTTTGTCAGAATGAATTATACAATCAGTGTTATTTTTTCTTTTGATATAATAATTATATAACTTATGCATTTATACACTACGAGTTGATCTCGGCCAACCAAAGACATAAAAAAATGACAATCAGAAATACTATGGCCTTGAATTTTAACTCTGTATGCTTCATGTTTACATTATGAATTTAACTAGTTCTTAGAAAGCAGAATGTATGTAATAAAATAAGCTTGGCCTAGCATGGCAATTCAGATTCTCACTGTTGTCTAAATTTTCATCTTTTTGAAAGTAATGAGTAAAAATAAATCTTTTTAAAAATTCTTTATAAACTTGAAATACTGTTTAAAAATGAAATGAAAGAAATTAGAACATACGTACTTTTACTTCACCTGTTAAAAATTCAGATTTAACGGTAATTATTACAATTTGGCAAACCAAATGAGAATGCTCTTCAGACTAGATGGTGGAATTGTCAGGAGGTCTGAAAGGGCATTTGGTTATTGCAGAATTTCTGATGTGCTTCTCTTGTTAATGTTGATCTGGAAATTTGAAAATATTCATAATCCTAAAATTTTGTTTATATATAAATCTAGAGCAAAGTTTTCCATTCCTTTATATGGATTGCTGCCTATTGCATCACATTAATTTTCAGTGTGTTAATATCATGTCAAATATCAATGATAGTAAGGAAGATTAAATGATAATTAGCAGGGAGAACAAGAATAAGAAAAGGCTATATATTTGGTATATCTCTTATTTCTACCTTAAAGAACTGCAGCCAAAGCACTTCTACCTTCCTTATTGACACATATTACTTTAGCTTCCTGCTTCCTTGTTCAACAAGACAACTTTCTCTGCCTCTCACCAGTATTATACTGTATAATAACTCTGTTCCATTCTCTGTTTTTAAAATGTATTTATCTATATTTTCCATTGGCACAAGGAACCTAAATAAAATTATGGCCAATTTTAAAATATACACAAAAAGAGTCCAAAGAATATTATTATGGATTTCATTCTGAATAAACTCAGTTACTTAAAATATAAAATTCTTTGCTACAACGGGTTTTATGATATGGGGGACTTGCATTCATCTGTGATCGATGTATATATGGATTGATCTTCTCCATACATACATACATATTTATTGAGAGAATTTTGAGTTTTATTAAAAAATTTCACATATCCACTTTATATATTCTTCCTTTATACTGTATCAACCTTTGTAGATTTGTCTAGAATATTTTTATAGAATTAATTGTATGCATTTCTTAGCATGATTATTTGCTCAAAGCAAAAGCAATTCAGGTACTTCCAAGGCTTGACTATTCACCTGACTGACTGATTCACTCTTTGCACTTTTTCATCTATACAGGAAATTTAGCAAAGCCTAATAGTTAAAATGTAACAAAATCTATCTTAAATTTTGCCATACAAAGTGCAGAACTTACATAGCTTTCAATAAAAGTAGATTTGAACCAATGTATTTGGTTCCCTGCAAGAGAGCAAAGTGCCTCCAGATCTACCTGGCAGCAAGTTTCTTCATCTTGCTAGATAGCAGGGTCAGGACTGGGCTGAATTTAATCTAGAGCTGAACCATCAGTCAGTTGTTGGGCGGGGGGAGAGTTTTTAAAAAATTACAATAAAATGATATTTTAAAAATGCACCCATCAGGAAACAGAGGAAATTGATATTCTCTTTGTAGTCAGGTGTTTCCTGTACAAAGAGGTACTCTCAGGTTATTAGAAATGATGGAATGTGAATTAAATCCAAGTATTCTGGATCACAGGTTAGGCTGTCTGTAGTATTAAGCTTGCCAGAAGTTGAAACTGGATAGTATTAGATACAATAAACTTTCTCCTATGAAATTTGAACAAAAACTAATTCAAAATTGTAACATTACATCATACATATCAAAGTCATTTCAAAATTTCACTCCTACATTGCATACATGTCCACAATATATTAATTGTCTCTGAGTTCTCCAGTCCTGATATTCAGCTATTAATATCTGAACTTTGATCTTTTCAGTTTTTCATTCAGAGAACTTCAATTTCATATCTCTATATTTTTAACACACTCATTTAAGCCATTCTATCTTTCTGTAGTTGGATGGTTACTAACAAGTTTTTACTAAGATACATAACCTTTAAAATTGTACTTTTCTTTTTGAATTAAAGTGTTACTGTTTCAAAATGTTTGGTATAACTACTTCCTTGGTGTAAGATCCAAAATATAATTATAATTAAATGGTGACTAGGTCTAGAACAATCAATTTTGGCTTTTTATCACACTTCTTAGCATGTATTTAAGAGAGGGAATTTTTTATGGTCTTCCTTGTTTTAACACAGTGTTACCAGCAATGAAATGATACACCAGAGCCAGGGAAAGTGCAGAATATACTTATCATTATCATTGATCTTGTAGTTATTATTAAATCAACTTACCTAGATACAGTTCCACTTCAACTGCAAGAACTGTAATCTTACTATAGCATGGATGCCAAGTGTCATTTTCCAGGGCCTCTTGCACCTGATTTTATTGTTCCTCTGTTTCAGATTTTTTTTTTTTTTGTATTATTCCTGACCTCTTAAAATAAATGGAGAACTTGTTCCTGTTGGCATTTTGTGCTATTTACTCTCTCAGGCAGCTAATTGTCCACCATTCCATGGAAATGTTGTATTTTAATACAGATGGGCATTGTATCAAAATGGTGATTGTTTTCAGAAACAAAGTTCCTGCTTATTGATGTTCTTAATCCTTTGTTACATTGCAAAATTTGAAGTCGAAATTTCACTTATCATCTCCAAAGTAATTTCAGGTTTGTTGGTATTTTTTAAAGAAAACAGTTAAAGATATATATAGAGGGACATTTTGTTAGCTTAATTTTAATGCAATGCAAATCAGTTCAAAGAGCAAAATAGTTTTCTCTTTTGGGGGAAAAATATTAGTGACCACACTACTTGTCACATTTTTCCCTACTGAAATACTATTTTAAAAGTTTTCAGTAAAATTTATATTTGCATTCTCCAATCCCAACCTTCAATATACAAGCGGAAAGAGTTTCATTTATTATTTATTTACTTATTTATTAAATATATATAGATGCAAAAGCTGTTCTGAGGATGCATAACAATCATGAGTTGCATTTCATTTCATATGAATAGCAGAATTTCACTCTTGTTGAATTTCTGTGCATGAGAATTGTAATATTGCAGGAATTCCTGCCACTGTCTAGCACATAGCCCAAGACAGACTTCCTCCTGGAGAAATATTATGGCAAGCAGTCATATTCTATTTTGTATTTGGTTTTGAAATGTTCTGCATGGTTGTTTTAGCTTGGCAAACTGTATTCAGATAATTCCATAAAGCTTTCAAATTCTCCTATTGTATATATTCTAGAAAAATTGGGCAACATATAAGCCATTGTGTGTACAGTACAGAATACAATGCAAGACAACAACAATAGCAACATAGCATTTTAAGGAGACTTGAGTATAATTGTATATTATATTTTCATTCTACTAATTTTCCTGAGTTTTTCAATGGTTTCACTACCATGAGTCGTGGTTACTTCAAATTATGATCAGTGACAGAGATATGCATAGTTTCAGATACAATATATTGTCTCAAAAAACAATATGGTTGTGATAGTATGTATGCATATGCTTTTCAAGTAGAAAACAGTGACTCATAACAATCCTGTTTGTTTTTTCATCAACTATCAACCATGTATTTTTGTCCCCTAAATCCTGAATGATTTTGAAATGTTGGCTGTTGTGCTTCATTACTGCTATTCTAAATATAAGCTCCTTGGAATTAATATCATAATTCTACCTGATCCAGAAAGGGGCAGGTGTTAAAACCATTTAAGGTTATCCCTAAAGTGTTCAGTCCCAATTCTGTATTATGCATTAAGTTCTGCTTGGAAATATACCGCAGCAGCTCAATTTCTGAAAAACACTGAAAAAATCCCCTCTTGTTTGATCCTGTAATTCCTTAATTCCTGTTTGAGTCAGGGTGACTTGATGGAGCTGAGCATTTACTGGCTGGATGCCCTTCCAGATGCCACACAGAGTTTTCAGCAGATATTTTCCCTTTGCATCCAAGGAGAGAAATATCAGCTGCTACCTAGGATTGAACTTTTAACTTTCCAAGCGGGAGACAAGATCTTCAAAACTAGACCACCATGTCACTCAATTTCTGGAAAGTATAATATATTTATTTTATTTTAAACTCACTTGCTTGAGAAGGGCGGCTATAGAAATTGAATAAATAAATAATAAATAAATTACTCATTTTTTAATTATTTGTTGCTGGAATCCCTCAGTGGTGAGATGGAGAATTGGATTCAAGGATCACCGGAACTATCCAGAGTACTCTCATGAGATTAATATATCAGTATTTCTCAACTTTGGCAACCTTAAGATGTGTGAACCTTAACTACCAAACTTTTGGGATTTAAAGTACACACACTTAAAAGTTTCCAAGGTTGAGAAACAGTGACATATGTGTTACTGCAATCATATTTAATTGTCTCAAAACATTTTCTGTATGACTTTGGTGGTGGAGGTGGGGGTGTTCTCTTTTGCAAGCAACTGATTTTATTTTCAGCATCTTCAATCCTCATTCCTGCTGAACTGTCTTTACAGTTAGTTACTTTTCTTTCCTATTCCATAGTTTCATTTTGTTTCTTCCACAGCATGTTCCAAAGATTTCCTTTCGCTTACTTTATTTTTTAATTTACTTTATACTTTATTGGCCAAGTGTGATTGGACACACAAGGAATTTGTCTTGGTGTAAATACTCTCAGTGTACATAAAAGAAAAGACACATTCGTCAAGAGTCAAGAATCATAGGGTACGACACTTGATGATAGTCATAGGGTACAATCAACAATCAAATCATACTAGGAAACAGTCAATATAAATCGTAAGGATACAAGTGACAAAGTTACAGTCATACAGTCACAAGTGGGAGGGGATGGGTGATAAGGAGTGATGAGAAGATTAACAGTAGTGCAGATTAATAGTAGTGCAGATATTGTAACAGTGTTGAGGGAATTATTAGTTTAGCAGGGTGATGGCTTTCAGGGAAAAACTGCTCTTGTGTCTAGTTGTTCTGTTGTGCAGTGCTCTATAGTGTCATTTTGAGGGAAGGAGTTGAACAGTTTATTTCCAGGATGTGAGGGGTCTGTAAATATTTTCACAGCTCTCTTTTTGACTTGTGCAGTATACAGGTCCTCAAATGAAGGCAGGTTGGTAGAATTTTTTTTTTCTGCAGTCCTAATTATCCTCTGAAGTCTGTGTCTGTCCTGTTGGGTTGCAGAACTAAACCAGACAGTTATAGAGGTGCAGATGACAGATTCAATAATTCCTCTGTAGAACTGGATCAGCAGCTCCTTGGGCAGTTTGAGCTTTCTGAGTTGGAGCAGAAAGAACATTCTTTGTTGTACTTTTTTGATGACTTTTTGATGTTAGGTGTCCATTTTAAGTCATGTGATGTAGTAGAACCTAGAAATTGGAAGGTCTCTACTGTTGATACTGTCTTATCTAGTATTGTAAAAGGTGGTAGTATGGGAGGGTTTCTTCTAAAATCTACCACCATTTCTACAGTTTTGAGTCTGTTCAGTTCCAGATTGTTCCGGTAACACCACGTGGCAAGTTGTATAACCTCCTGTCTGTATGCGGATTCATCATTGTCTTGAATGAGACCAATCATTGTTGTGTCATCAGCAATCTTCAGTATTTTAACAGATCGATCATTTGAGATGCAGTCATTGGTATATAGGGAGAGGAGAAGTGGAGAAAGCACACAGCCTTGGGGGGGGGGGCTGTGCTGATTGTACAGGTATCAGATGTGATTCTGCCTAGCTTCACCTGCTGCTTCCTGTCTGTTAAGAAGCTTATGATCCACTTACAAGTGTGTTCAGGTACTGTTAGTTGGTTTAATTTACTTAGAAGAATGCTTACAGTCAAT